AAAGACAGTCTAGTATCTGACTAGGTTTTAAAACTAAAACATGTTCTTTACATATTACAACATTCTATACAACCCTATATAATTAGTGCATGTTTAAACAATGTGCTGCTTGCCAAGCCAACACTAATAGCAGCCAAATACTCCTTAACTAATGTTTATACAGATGTCTTTTATATAAGAGCCAGTCATCGTGCATCAGTTAGCTCGGCGGCTAGCATACAGCTGCATCATGTGTTGACATATTCATATTACCTCCTGCACTCCTCCTTCGTGCTGCTGCGCCATAGCGAGCAACATCCCGTCGAATTTCTCCTCATCATCGCCCATTTTACTATTTACTAGAGATAGAAGATTAAAGAACTACAGTTTGATGTGTGATGCTAAAAACCACGCGAACACCGGTGTGTTTCCTAGACTTCCTAGATACAAGGACCGCCCACATTATGTTTAGGACCAATCAGATCACAAACACTTGAAGGACAAACGCGCAAACCAATTAGATGACAGTGTCGAAAGCTGTTGCGGGTGAGGCAGGGCAGCTCCTAAAGATGAGGCCCGAGGACCTTTATATCGCAGTCAGAACTTTCTAGAGACCATACAGTTTTGAGATTGCACACGATAACACATGAACTAGACTTTTGGTTTCTAAAAAATACTGATATGGGCTACCTGATTATTTCATAATTATTATTTAATTATTATTATTTGTTGTTGTTGTTTTTAATTAATAACTGTTTACTTGTTTTTAATAATCTTTGAAATTGATGTTAATAGTTTTAGCTGTGGTATTATATGGAATCGAGAATTGTTAAATTTCAGTAGCTATCTAAAATTTGGGGTGTCAACATTTATACATGGGTCTATCTCTGATTTTGACAGAGGATAGGTGCGTTCATGTGCTATGGCAATTATGGTAAATAAATACCAAAAGCCGACGTGGAAATGCACATATTTTGATGGACGTGTTGCCGAGATGAGATAACCTTTGACCATTTCAAAATGTCGGAGAGCACTGCGAGAATGGTAAAATATACAGACATATTATAATAAGATAATAATAATACGTTTTATTTATAACGCACTTTTCATCCAAGGATCTCAAAGTGCTACAGGTTAAAAACAACAAAAGATAAACAGTTCTTTAAAAAGAGAGGAAAAGAAAGAAAAAAACTAAAGAAAAAATAACATCTAAAGGGTATCAAAAGCTTTGCTAAAAAGGAATGTCATATTATTTACCTTTTGAGTTTTGATAAATCATTTTCTTGCTGTTGCAGAAGACTTAAGCAATCTAATAAAATAGTTTTAGTTAAATAACAGGTCTGGATCTCCATCTTTTTACCACATTAATTTACGACTACAAATGCACTTGAACGCAACACACTGGTAAATACCATTTCACAAGTGGAAAATATCCTATTTTCCATAAATCACCTGAATGTTGGACCACCTGTAAACAGCTTCTAAAGTAACTGGATGAGACAATATGTTTGCATGTGAGCCACTTTCATAATTGTGTATAATATCGGCTCATTAGCTGTCCCATTTTGTTCAGACTTGTTTCTTTACGGCCACCGTAAGTTTGAGATGAAATGCACTTTGTTATTTAAAGCTGCACTGTAACTTTTGGCCCTCTAGCGGTTAATATAGTCAACTGCATCAGTCTTGCAGAACATTGTTTTGATTGTGTTTTGGCCTTATGGTTTCGGCTCTGGTCCTCCATGTGAAGTGTGAGTGTCATCACTCTATCTTGTTTCTGATTAGAGATAAATGACATGTTGCAACTGTACCCGGTTAGCGTGAACAGGCCTTTGGCTTTGGAAAATGTGCAGCAACTCTTCTCTATTTAATTAGCACCAATATGAAGGAAGTGTTGTTATTCCCCATCCATGACAAGAGCTTGTCAAACCTGTTGCATTTGTTTGCAGAGCTCCGTTTTATATGAGGAGACATAAATCATATATTCAGGCTTATAGTACTGCACAAACACACCTTAATTCAACTAATTAAAATGTTAATTACTTATATTTTTCATGTAAATAACTTTTCTCAGATATGTGTATAAATACACACAAAAAGCATGAAGTCTCAGTATTATACTGGCACTATCAGGTATGACAAGCTTCAGTAGTTTCGATGGTGGCTAAACCATAGATGAGTCATAAAACATCAACAGGAACATCCTGGATATAAGTACGTTTGACAAACACTCAAATGACCCTGTTTTCCCCTGTCAGACTCCAAAAACCCCTGGAGGCGGCTTCGTTAAACAAGGGTGGATTGATGTTAAACTGATACAGCAGCGAAAGTATTCAGGGCAAATGCACCCGGTGTTATAAGGAAATAAGTCCAAGCAAAAAGATCATAACTAATCACGCCTGGACTTATTTGATATTGAGCCAATCGCAGACAGAATCAAACACAATCATTTATAAATGATTGACTTTGTGCTTGTTTCACATAAGACATAATTAAATTACAACCACATAACCAAGACTGTGGTCTATACAGGCAGATCTGTAACCCACACTGACCTCAGGGTTATTGAAGGTCTTGTGGCTGTGGTTTATGGGCCACTTGAATGAGCTTAAAAGTCAAGAAAGTGAATGGATTTTCGTGAGCAAGAGCGTTATAGACACAGCTATGGTCTCCATGGGTCAGATTTATAGGCTACCAATGAGTAGTGCACAAAACAAAGGGACATTTTGACTACAAATGTCAATAACATAACGTCGTGATGAAAAATATATTAGTAGCCCTCAAACCGTATTCGCTTTATAGCCCTTAATCCTGTAATTGTGGACAAATGTGGGCACAGAGGACTTTTATTTATTATACATGTTATATCACATGTCTTCGATAAAGTTTTGTCTATCCATTTATGGTGTTTTTTTTTTATTTCGGGGGTATTTTTGAATTTGTTTACTTCAAAAAGTACCGTATTTTCTATGTAAATTATGCTTATTTTTCTGTTTTATTTTATTAACTGCATTAAAATATCATTCCTAAAGCTAAAACCTAAAGATGAAGTGACTTTGCTGTCACCTGATGTCTTATTTTGGCTTATTTTAGGATGCTCTAAATTACAGTTTTTCCCCATTCATTTCTATGGGTGCCCATTTTTGACCCAAATACAAGATTAAGGAGTTTTTTTCACCCACTTAACATTGTAGAATTGAGTTTAAAAAAAAAATGTGTGTGTTCAGGAGGCAAACTTAGGAAAGTAGCCAAGTCTTGTAGCGCTCAGATCAAGGGAAGTATTTTTAAAAAATAAATCAAAACTATTTTGCCCACATTTGTCCAGAATACGGTTTTAGGGTTATAATGCCTTTGTAAATAAATACTACAACAGTGTATCTCGCAGCTGGCTTTGCATCTTACGATAAATTCTTGGATAAACACCAAACAAGGTGGATGACGAATTAAAACAAATCTTCCGTCACACTGACTGATAGTTCAAATATGCATTGTCTTGCGGTAAACCCCTTTAAAATGTTTAACTTAGTGCCTGAAGGGTTCATGAATACTAATCCAATTGATCACAGGCAAGCGTGTTTCCTGCCTTTTACTGCCATAATGAAGAAACTGAAAGTCTAATAAGTCAAAAAAAAAAGTGATTGAGTGAATATGCAGTGTATGCCAAATGCAAGTTTTTATTGACTCTGCCCTTTCTCCTTAAGTAAATATCACTTTCTGCTTTACAATTTCCTGTAATTCTCTGGGGGTTTTATGGTTTCGGTGTACGTAGCGTGCTGTATAGCAGCTTAACTGGAGCATTTCCAAACTGAATGTGACACTGTGTCCTATAAACAGCACGTTGACATATTTCCGGCATGTATAAGGGATTTATTTTTATTTGCATACTTAACATGCATTACAGTAAAGTGTGAATGATTTCTGTGTTGAACACAGTGAATTTTCTCAATTCTGATGATGTCAGCTGTCTTCACTGAAGGCACATGCAAATATTTTAATTTAGCTAGCGTACAATTTTTACCACATTTTTTTAGCAAAACAAGCATCCTATAACCCATTAAATACATATCTTATAAAATCCATGTTTACCAAGCAACAAAGATTTAAAAAAAAAATGATTATCACTAAAGCAACATAAGATAATGATTTTTCCTAAAAATAACTCTTGCAACAATGACATTCACATTAAGGTATACATTGAATTTAAACAAGTAACCAATTAAATGCTATCCTAGACTTCGCATATGGCAAGTGAAGTGCATATATACTTTGTACATTTAAATAATCTTCACATAGTCAAACCTTCACTGAAGAGCCAACATTTGACTAATACATTCCTCATCTTAACAAATAAGCAATAGTTCACTATTTTTATATTTAAAATAGGGCTGTGCAAAAATTAATTGCGATTAAGCGCATCCAAAATAAAAGTCTGTGTTTACATAATATATTTGTGTGTGCTGTATATAATTATTTTGTATATATAAATACCTATGCATGCATTTATATATTTAAGAATTATTTGCACTTAAATTCTGTATATATATATATATATATATATATATATATATATACACATACATAATCTATATTATATAAATATTTTATATATGAATAACACATTTTCTTAAATATATACATGCATGTGTGTGAATTTATATATATATACAAAATAATTATATACAGCATACACAAATATATTATGTAAACACAGACTTTTATTTTGGATGTGATTAATCGCAATTAATTTTTGCACAGCCCTAATTTAAAAAAAGTCTTTATTTATTAGCCCTCATGTTGCTGCACATCCTTTCAGTGCACCATGAAAGGTGACATTTTTAAGGATATTCAGGCCAATCTTTGGGGACTCATCATGACTCGTTCCCTATATTACAAGTCTTCAAAAGTACTTTTTTCTTGTATGTGTATCATCAACGCCATTGCTTTTTGATGCGTTTCAAGTAAGAAGGAAAACTGGCATGAGGGTGAATAAATTATGACTGAATCTTTGAATGAAGTAACTTTTAAAAAGGCAGAGTTAAATCATGCTACAGTTTGCTTTGGCAATATTGTGCTATTTTACACATTCATGCCAATAAAGCTAATTTGAATTTACACAGTATATGCCCATCTATTGGCTATAAAGAGGTCACATTGTTTTCCATTCTTCATTCTCAGGAAGTCAAGCTAAATGTGTTTGCTGGACAGCAACATTAAGATACTTCACATATCCATCACAAGAGTCCAAAGAACAAAAATGTGACGTAGAAGCATAAATACAACTACCTCTTCAGATATGTTAACTGCCCATGAAATCACAATTTTCAGGGGTCTACTTCTAAACTCATCCACTGACTCCAAGTTTTTCAAAGAGATGAAGTATTCAAAGTTTAAGGACGTTTGGAAATAAAAAAAAGATGTATGATCTGAAGGAAAACTCTCACGCCCGTATGCCGCTGGGTAGTAAGGGACTGTCCGATGTGATCGGCACACCAGTTTCCTGGAAACTCCGAGAAAATGCTGTTTGGGAAAAGAGAGAGATTCAAATTAAAGCAAATAAACATGCAATTTGATCAAGTTTCTTTATGGGATTCGAGAAATACAATTTTTATTGATCTTTTAAAATTAAAAAGTGTCCAATCTACCCTAAAAGAATACTATAACTTTACAAACCCAAAACATCCACTTCATTGGGGGAACAAACTATTTTAACGATGTCTTTACTATGATGTTGCTGTCTCATTTCATCAAAAATGTCTTAATTTTGGTTCTGAAAATGAATGAAGGTCTTACAGGTTTGGAAATGACATAAGGGAAAGTAATTAATGACACCATTTTTGGGTGTTCCAGCTGTGTCTCTCAGCCACTGCTCTGCATTTTGTTTTATTAATTTGTTTATTTTATAAACAACTCTTTCACAATATAATGTGTTTTTACTACTTTTGTTCACACTTATGCATATTCTTTCTTTAAAGGGACAGTTCACTTTGAAATTAATTTTTTTGATTTATTTTATCTTATCTCAAGGGCATCCAAGATGTAGTGTCTTTGTTTCCACAGTATTTTCAATTTTGATATTTTAAGGTTAAAACAATATAAATACTGTTGGTTTTCTCACACAAACCGCTCGTTTCGTGTCTTAGGCCATCAATGTGTACTTGCATTTACGAGTCATTAAATCATGTTTAATTTGGACTTCTCTGTGCATGCTCTTTGAGGTGGTGACCATAGACCTCCATTATATGACTGACAGACAACAGTTTGACCTAAAAATATAAAAATTGAAAATACCGTGGAAACAAAGACACCTACATCTTGGATGCCCTTGAGGTAAGATAAAACATATCAAAAAATAATTTCAAAGTGAACTATCCCTTTAAGTGGATTATTTCCGTAATAAAAACCCCTTTAAAAAAATTGGTAAAGTGTACTGAAAGGTTCACTTGACCGAAAACCCACAGCCTGTGAACAAACATCTCATTGCATTTGCATCTCATTTCACATGTAAGGAGGATATTTACATAATCTTAAAAGAACAAAACAAAAACAAGTAGTTTATATTTTGAGGGGGGATGTGATTATGTGATTATAAACAGCGAAGTGAAACGATAAACTACAAATGATAAACTATGACATGGCCATTCTGAAGTAATAAATGTGTGCTCTAAGAACGACATGCTGAAAGTTATTATATTCTCAACTTCATGTTCCCACAAATGTTTATATAATGCCATAAAAGGCAAAACAATCCAGCTATTGCTTGCCAACAATGTAGAGCATGAAAACAACATCAAGCAAAGTGAGAGGGAAGAGTAAACAACCACTGATGAGGAAAAGAGAGACATTCAAATTCAGAGGAGTGTAACCGATCAGATGGCTTCCAGACAAGAGAGCATTGTTTGTGACAATGTGGTGGGTTACATCACAAACCCCTCAAACTCTCCCAGCACACACCCCTCTCCTTCTCCCAGAGCGGATTCGGGCACTCAACAGCCTTTAATTCAGGCAGGGAGAGGCTCACAGCACAGATACGCTAACACACGACAGCGCTGCTAGCTAACTAAATTACCATGAGGTTAAGCCAAGGTCTTTGCTTAGTTTTATGCAAAACAAACTGTGGGTGAGTCTCATGAAAGACCAGGTCACATAGCTCCCCAAAATCAAAAGAAAAAAAGAAGGAAAAAAAACATAGATTTTTCGCACTGCAGTATTATTTTAATACTAAAATAATAATAAATAAATTAAATATTAACATTACTGTAAAATACATTATTAACATTGTACACTAATGTTCAAAAGTTTGGGGTTGCTTAAAGATTTTATACAAATGTTTTTAATTTAAGTTGTTCATGCTCAACAATGATGCATTTATTTGATAATATAAACAGTAATATTGTGAAATATCATTACAATTCATGTGAATATATTTAACAATGAAATTTATTCCTGTGATGGCCAAACTGAATTTTCACTTGAATCTTGAAGTTTCACATGATCCTTCAGAAATCACTCTAATATGATGATTTGCTGCTCAAGAAACAAATTTTATTATTATCAATGTTGAAAACAGTCAATATTTTTGTGAAAACACAGTGATATTTTTTTTAGAAAAGCTTTTGTAACATTATGAACGTCTTCACTTATTAATTTAATGCATCCTTGCCAAGTAAATGCATTAATATCTATAAAAACAAAAACAAAGCAACAACTTTTGAACAGTACTGTATTACAATACAGAACTGTATTATTTTAAAATCTTTAAGATTGATTTTGGGGTGAAATGCATTCTGGAGATATTTTTGCATTGCCGTAATCAGGTTTTTGTGTCAGTTCATAAAATCAAATTCACTACTCACACTGGTTACTGTTGTTGCGTAACTTCCTGGCTTCTATGTCATCGGACCTCTCCGTGGAAATCTGCAACTCTAAACAGAGAATAAAATAGTTTAGTCGGCATGAAACGGAAGCTGCGATAATCTTTTCTTCCCAATTGTGATAAATGAAGCTTCTCGGATATGAAAACATTTTTGGAACTGGATCATTATTATTTCGATTAAAGATCATGAGGGCACATTAACAATAAAAAAATACATAATGATGTCATGTGCAAGAACAAATCATTTATAATCAGTGTTGGGTGTAACTAATTACTTACTGTAATTTAATTACTTTTCCCTTGAAAATGTAAAGTAAGGGATTACTCTTCATTAATCTGTAATTTAATTACAGTTGATGTAATTGAGGTAAATACTGTGTATAGATCAATCCGATCTCACAGCGATTCATATGCATTTTATGAGGTGTATAAATCGCACTCATACAAATTCGTATGAATTATTGTAAAATATGTATGAAAAAAGTGTGAAATGTCATGAGATCAGACATAAAACATCAAAATATATTGTCTAATGTTAAAAAGTTTGTTTTAATAATGTAACCTTCTCCACCTTGGTCTGTTTAAGGATAATTCATGCTATTTTATAGTATTTATTTGAAGGAATTAAAATATGGGATTTTGAAAGTAATTAGTAATTAAAAGTAATTAAATACTTTTTAAAGAGAGTAATTAGTACAGTAATCTAATTACACTGTTGAAGAGGTAATTAGTAACTAGTAATTAATTACTTTTTTAGAGTAACTTACCCAACACTGTTTATAATTCATGATGACTTTAAAATTGGCAAGAGGCCGAATGAGACGCCATATATTTCAGGACTAGACATTGAGCAAAAGAAAGAGAAATGTTGTTTGCACTCACTTCCATCACTCATGGAATTGAAGCTGCTCTTTTGGCTGTTCTTTTTGCTGTTCCAGGTGTCATTCCCACTGTCCCGCTGCAGCTCCTGCGGACGAATTTGCGGCTTCTTCTTACTCTTGCGCGTGCTGATGCGAACAATCTCTCGCACGAGCCTGCACTCGGCCTCCTTCTCCTCCATGTTGTGTTCCTGCACGATATCCGAGATCAGTTGACTGATCTCCCGGGAACGCCGCAGGAACATGGAGTCCGAGGTGCACTTGGCCAGCTCGTTGATCTCAAACTCGGAGAAGACCTCCATAAGCTTCCGGGTGATGAGCGTGTCCACGTCTTCTGTCTCGTTGCCATCGATAAAGTCATCGTCCTGTAAGCTACTGAAGTAGACTGGACTGTCCATCTCTAATTTCGAAGTGGAAAACGACACACACTCCTCATCCTCTTCAATGACGGATGTGTCCACCTTGACACCACCAATACAGACGTCGGGGTAGAAGCCATTCTCAACCTGTGGAGGACTTGACACGATCTCCACCGGTGCGTTAGGAGCTGTGCTCGAAATGAGACAAGGCAAGCGTCGACATACACGGTACAATCCACAAGTCAACACGCTACAAAAAAGCTTCCTGCAGCTCACCACGGACGCACAAGGTCCGCACACACACGTCCCCGAAACGGGCTCTTCTTTGGCAGGGAGAAAGCTTACCGTCTCCGGCCCAGTCGTATTTCCATTAGCATCCTTGTTGACTTTGTGCCTCACTCCAATTTGCTGGATCTCAACCTCCACGGGGTCGACAGATCGTTCTCGGTATGGCCCTTCATCTATGGGACCACTGGTCCAGGACGGGGTGCTCTCCATAGGGACCACACTCGGCCCAGACCGTCCTCTGCTGGCTGCTTTTTGCAGTTACCTGATGCTGGACTGTGGCCTTAGGGTCTGTTAAAAAAAACAAAAACAGAAAACTGGAAGAGAGTTTTACATTACACCATCAGTCTCGGTACAAAACTGCAGCACACACGGTCCCAAATTTCCTTTAGATATGTAAACCAACCAGTTTAAATCTGTATGTGTTTGCTTTATTGACTGTTGTCATTGTTAATAAGATAGCGAAAGCAAAACGTTCACCTACACCATTAACACATAGAATCCAAATGTTTTTTTTGTCACATAAAGCCTTTTGAAAGTTAAAAATATCTATATTTTGTTGTAGACTACTAATTTTTGTTCTACTTCTGGAACAAGTCAACTTTTAAAAGCAGCCTTAGTCTAAGTTAAATTGAAAACATACTTATTTCCAACTTAAATGTAATACAAATTAAATCACAGCAGAATAGACAATTGAATCTTTGTGAGGCAGAGTCATATTACATCCAATAATAGGCTATCTAGGCCGCCATTGATTATTTACAGATTCCGAAAAGATACAAAGTTCGCAATGTCCCTAAACAAACATACCGCATTTATCTTTCAAAATTAATTCAAATGAACGATACGAGATTTTAACTAGCAAACCTACTATGTAAAACAGGGTGTACATCAGGACATCTTGAGTAACATTAAAACTACAAACTGTTCGTTTACTCACACCATATGGGGGAAATGTCGAAGTCTGAGGCGATTCTTCCGGAAGTCCGGAGAGCTCAAAAAGGTTAACGTTACTCGATTTAAATTCACTATTAGTCCACAAATATTCAGCCGGTTTTCATTCAATCGGCCTCAAACTGTCATTAAAAAGAGTAAAAGGAGAATAATTTGACCGGAATGCTCGTCTTACCTGCTTCTATAAACACGCAGATCTCGCAGGCTAACGTTACCTGATTCTACAGGTACATCAGGACATGGACACTAGTGACGTCACTTGAAGAGTCTAACCCATTGTTTCATTGACTGTAAATTAGATTTAATAAAAAAAACGTGTACACGTAGGCCTATATTTAAACAAGCCAAAGTTTTAACCCTCGAGGAATTTTGAATTGGATTATTAATCTACATTTTACTAAGGTAAATAAACGCACCGCTGAGATTTTTTTAACCAACAGATGGCGTCAATGCTCCTCCATGCCAAACTCTTTACTGGCATTTCTGCGGTCTATTCAACAGCAACTGATGATGCTGTTATCAAACAACAAAAAAACAATTTCTTCCGTTCAGTGTTATACAAGCAGCCAGTCTCAGTCTCTGGCTAGGCATAAGGAACTCCAAACATGCCTATTCATTTGTGAAGTCACATTTAAACAAATAATAATACAGTATTAAACGGATTGTGGGTTTAAAGTCTTTAATATGAAATGTACAGTCCTCACAGGTGGTGAATCAAGAGTCATAAATTGCCAAGACAGTTTCTTGTGTCCACAGTTTCTATGATCACTGAACAGCAACGCACTGGATCAGTCAGAGCATCCTATAGTCCTTGCAGAGACCAGAGCATGATGACCGACAGTCTCCCCAACACACACCTAATCAAGACTGCAAGAAATTGAAAAACCATTAGTAAACAATGAAAGTATGCTATTTAAAAAAATAAATATCAATGCTGTGGGCATTTTCTACAGGAGACACAGCGAATACCCCAATGACCTACTACAGCTGCCAAAAAGTATTATTAAATCATGTGGAACATTATATTTCATCAATATTGCTGTGGTTTTGAGATGTAAAATTTCACATACAACTGGACTAAATTGAAATCGTGACTGAATTGTGAAGTCCATCTGTAAAGTTGTGAAAATGTAGCATTCAGCAGTTTGAAATAGTTAGTCACATTATTCAGTTTCACAACAATAATAAAATAGTGGTCATAGTACACTGCATGTATGAAGTAAACCACAATCACATTCTGAATCTGAACATATAGCCACAAACATCCTGAATTACAATTGCCCACTACATGAAGTAAAGACAGATTGCTGGGATGCTGTACACGCTGAAATAACTATATCACTTTTGGACTACAGTATTGCTTGCAGAGTGCAGATCACTTCCTGCACTGTTAGACCTTACCAGGTTTTTTTACAGTAAAATACTGGCAACACTGTTGCCAGTAATTTACTGTAAAAATACACTAAAACTCAAGTTAACTTAAAAAATACAACTTATTAGTTTTAGTGCATTTTTACAACACTGTTGCTAGTAATTTACTGTAAAAATGCACTAAAACTCAAGTTAACTAAAAAATACAACTTATTAGTTTTAGTGCATTTTTACAACACTGTTGCCAGTAATTTACTGTAAAAAAGCACTAAAACTCAAGTTAACTAAAAAAAAATACAACTTATTAGTTTTAGTGCATTTTTACAACACTGTTGCTAGTAATTTACTGTAAAAATGCACTAAAACGAGTTAACTAAAAAATAAATAAAAAAATATTAGTTTTAGTGCATTTTTACAACAGTGTTGCCAGTATTTTACTGTAAAAAACCTGGTAAGGTCTAACAGTGTGGTAAACACCAAAACAGAGCAATTGTACTCACTTTATGGCAGATGTAAAGAACTGCCTCTAGATGGAGGGGTTTACATCCTGCCCTGTTGACCAAGACCCGCAGGGCTGTTTTGGGTCCCCTCACATTTAGGAGCGGTGGAATCTAGCCTGTTAACTTGAGGCTGGTTTTGTTGAGCTGTGGCAGAAGGAACAATATTTTTATGACTGAAAATCATTTGAGATTATGACTGCAGTGCACTTGAGCAAACCTTGTCTGTAGTTGCTGGGAAGTACAGGAAGAATCCGTCGGACGGGACCTTGGCCAAACTCACGTGGAGGGGCATTAATATGCCGAGCGTAATCTGGATTTCCTTGAGAGGCAGTGAATTGGCTCTTGACTTCTTTGGAACCAAAATATTGAGGAGATGAACCAATAGGTGTGTGTACATTTTGATCTTGCCTCTGGCCCACAGAACATGGAGGGGAACTTTGGAAAGAACCCCTACAAACACCACCAGAAGCCCCTCGGTTCTGAGAAGTACCAAAGCTGCTTGTGGGTGGTTTATTAGGGCGAACATGGACTGTATTGATCTTATTAGCTCCAGCAATATTGGGGTTAGAGGCACTGAATCCAAATTCACTTCTAGAAGGCTTTGAAAGCCTAGAGTTTGGTTTGTGTGAGGTCCCAGTTACAGAAGAGAAGGAAAAGCTAGGGTTAACTTTGGGTTTATTGGATTCTGGTGTACTTGTACCCTGCATTATCCTGATAGCTCCAGAACTGGCAATTGAGGACTTTGCCACATCATATCGAGTCCAACTTTGAGAGGGGTACGTGGGATTGTAGTTTTGACTAGGCTGACCATTGAAATTGTAGGTCTGCTGGAATTTGGAGCGAGGTGGTAACTTGTTTCGAAGTACCTCACCAGAGCTGCTAAGTGAAGATCTATCAACATTGTCTCTACAGGTATTTTGGGAAGGTTTCCTCAGCTCAGGACCTCTCATTGAGTAATGAAGAGGTTCATTCCATGACTTGCCCTGATTATTGGCAGTCAAATCTGTAGAGGTCTGACTGGCCTCATGACCTTGAGCACTTCCTCTATCCTGAGCTATAAAGATTGGCCCCAAGCTAACAACTGAAGACTTGACTTCACTACCAGAGAGTTTTCTTGGATTTATACTTGAATACAAAGGTGTTCCCCTCTGGAATGGGCCATAACTGCTACTGGCTGTCTGGACTTTGTTAGTACTTTGTCTCCACTTAGATAAACCATGCTGAGATCCAGATGTTCCAGTATTCCAGGGTTTTAAGAGCGGAGGTTGAGTTCTCATTAAGGTGGACCCACCCTGATATGAAGTAGAAGCAAGTCGGCCACTAGGCTGGACATTTTTGAAGGCATCAGTTGCTGTACGAGAGCCATAATGAACAGAGGGTTGTCCAAAACCTGACAAGTCATATTTTGGAACAGAAGCGGAAGGATTAAAGTCAACCATATTTTCTTGATTGTTTCTTTCAACTGGAGTCTGACAAGATTTTATATTCGAGCCTGGAACTAATCTCCCTTTATGAGAAATATAACTTCCATGGGCAGAACTGTAGGCAGGGTCATTCTGACTTCCCACCTCAGGGACATTCACTGGGAAACTACTGGCTTTTTGCACATTAGCAGTTGGCATGCTCCCTGTTGAAACAAATAAAAAGTACACAAACAGCATGAGACTGCAATGTTTCAGATAAATATCTGAAGTGTGTTAGGCCTACCTTCATAATTCCCCAAACAGGTTACACAAGCAGGAAACAAGGCAAAGAGAACTCTGGGAAAGAAAAGCAAGGCAGCCATTTGGTAGAGCAATGTAGAGATTCAGACAAAAACAAAACAAAAAAACACTTAATTTCAGGAAACTTAAAGCTCACCTTAAGCAGTATCTGGAGCCCATTGTTAAATAAGGCAACACCAGACTAATTAAACAGCAACTTCTGTTAAAATTCTCCTGACTTAATGATAGTTTGAACAGAAGCTCAATTGGAATCTCTTATACACCCCACTCCTTACCTTCAGCCAATCAGCAATCAAGATTCCTGCATGTTGCAGCTGTTAACAATAATCACTTGAATGATATGAACAGAGCCCGTCTAACGGAGATCCTATGAGCCCCGTTGTGTATCATCTTGGTTGCAGTTCCATTAGAATTCCACTGGAGGTGATCATGAGCGAGTGCAGAATGAATGGGAGTCTATGGGGCTAAACGGCTAAATGTGTCTCTTTCACCTGCTTGTCGTTAAATCAACATAGATTTTATTGTTGATTCCGCAAGTTCAATATAGATTATAGGCCAAAAGTCTAATGAACGAGTACTTATGTCCTTTTGATTTCTTACAGGTTAGGCCGTTGTTGGCCGGAGCACGCTAGCATTCTGCTATTGTGTGACGTCATCACAGTTTTGAACGGATTTTTAGAACAGATAAGTGAACTTAAAAATGCAATTTTCAGCTGAGTGTATTTTCTTAGCCCTCCCTTTTGAATGCAACTTTCAAATTACTTGACAAAAAATTACATCCTGAGAAAAGTGGATTTCTGTGGGTGAAACCCCATTGACTCCCATTCATTCTGCACTCGACCGCGAGCGCCCCCGCATGGACAGAGACGCGTTACTGCAGCTAGTGCCAATTCTCTTCAATTAGACATTCTCTGATATGAATGATATCCCTGCCTGCCAATTAAAAGAATATAATAATAATAATAATAATAATAATAATAACTAATTTCAAAATGTTTTGACAGGTAATATATGGTTAAAATAAAACATTTTCAACAAAATATTATTTATTTTATTACACAGCTAAATTGAGCTAAAGATGTTAGGCTATACCAATGGCAATCATGTTTAAGCGTTAGATCTGAAGGAAATTGCTGACCATTTATATCTGATCAGTGAATTTCCATGTCAGTTATTTAGATTTTCATCACTGAGCTCACGTCAATAAAACACAATGCCTTGCCTTACCTTTTCCATGTGCTGAACTTGGTAGAAAAAGGAGAGTTGATATCATGCATCATATTTATATGGACAACTATAGCATTTTGTGTTAAAGTTCAGATTGCAATTCATTTTGCTCCACATCTGCTATATTATAAAGCGAGTGCTTTCGGAGAGGGAGCTTTACTGACATGAGGTTTCATACCTTAAGGGACACTTCACCCATTTGCATTCAGCTTTGTATCTTTAGAAACCCAGTCATATTTTTGTGAATGGTTTATTCCCTTATTTTCCCCTGAGATGCACGGGAGAAATAAGGATTTAAGTGTTCCTGCTTTTTATGACGTAAAAACCTTCCCTCACACCCACACGCATACACAAACCACTCTGACAGTTTCCCATTCCCACCAGTGCATATTTGATAGATAGGGATCATTACTGTCATTCATGCAGTCAGCAGGAAGGAGAAGCATTTGTCTCCTGAGGAGATCTGTCAAACCGTCCTACTTTTCCTTGGCATGTCATTTTATCCTTACATTGTCCCTCATTTATTCCTCCAACCAGCGGTGAAGAGGGAATGCTGGAACTGAGTAATTTCCTCTATTAACAGAATACCAGCTCTTCACCTGCCATTATTGATAGTGATGCAACTGTGTGACCTTTACATGGAGCTGTGATTAAGAGTCAAGGTTGCGATAAAATGTATGAAAATAACTTATAATAACTAAATAATCGATGAAATAATGTCTGTTTCCTGTAAAGATCTGTTTAGAAACAAATGAAAAAGGACTTTTTTCTTGCTAGCATCATCAGAAATCATTATAGTGACAAATAAAGTGACTCGGTATGGAAACAATATATAGAAATGATTTTTTTTTCAACTGCAACGAGCCTCATTAATCAGAAAACATGTATCCAGGAAAACACACTCTGTCGTGCTCTGATTTGTTTTATCTGGCACTTATGAGGACGTCTTTGAAAATAAGCTCCAGTAATGGCTAGCCACACTTTGCAAGTTTCATCGTCAGCAGATTCTCCTTAGCAAGCAGTGACACACAGGAGAGAACGTCCCATTGTGAGGTGCAGTGTGAATCTATTCATCATCGGACAATGAAGGATTCTTTCTTATTATAAAACTTGGACTAGATATTGTATTTCCCATCTTACATTCTGCACCACCACCACTATACAGATCTGAATTTTAGACAATTTAATCTTTAAATTAATCTTACTAAAACATGTTTAGGTCATATGTCAACCTAATAAATCATATGAAGATTTCAGATGCAAAAGCCTCTACACTGAAAAAAATGATTTTTGCTGCTTGTTCAAATCGCTTAATTAAAATTAGCTTCAAGTGTCATTTGAAATTTTCTTCTAGAATGATCATTTTTATCAAGCTTGTGTATTTAAGTTCAGTGATTTCACTTAAATGGCAATGATAATTACCTATTAATTGTTATTTAAGTGAAATTACTGAACTTAAATATACAAGTTTGATAAAAATCATCATTAAAGAAAAAAATTTCAAATGGCATTTAGAGGCTTTTGCATCTGAACTCTTCATATAAACATTTTTTTCTCCATTTCATTATCAAATATGTGTCCAGGTTGTTTAACCTCAAAACTGTATTCTGGACAAACGTGGGCAAAATAGTTTTGATTTATTTTTAAAAAAATACTTCGCTTGATCTGAGCTGTACAAGTCTTGGCTACTTTTCCTAAGTTTGCCTCCTGAACACACAATTTTTTTTTTGACTCAATTCTACAATGTTAAGTGGTTGAAACAAACTCCTTAATCTTGTATTTAGGTAAAAAATGGGCACCCATAGAAATGAATGGGAAAAACTGTAATTTAGAGCATTCTAAAATAAGCCAAAATAAGACAGCATGTGACGGCAAAGTCACTTCATCTTTAGGTTTTAGCTCTGAGAACTTATTGGAATGATATTTTAATGCAGTTAAAAAAATAAAACATACAAATAAGCATAATTTATATAGAAAATATGGTACTTTTTGAAGTAAACAAATTAAAAAATACCACCAAAATAAAAAAAAAAACACCATAAATGGATAGACAAAACTTTATGGAAGACACTGATATAACATTTATAATAAATAAAAAGTCCTCTGTGCCCACATTTGTCCACAATTACAGGATTAAGGGCTATAAAGTGAAGACGCTTTGAGGGCTACAAGAATTTTTATTGTATTTCTCATCATTCACTGTAACTCTTGTTAGTGTTTGGAGACTGGGGATGGTTGTAACATTTTTTTTTTAGTTATTTTAAGCCAGTCCATTCAAAATGTCATTCAAATTAGTAACAAGTGTCAGCTATTAAATGTAACAAACAGAATATTAGTGGTTTAGTTTCAAAGTAACATGTTGAGTAAAATGTTACAATTCACACTAAGGTTGGTTAACTTGTAACACAATGGGGGCCCTCCAGAACTGAGTTAATAGGCAATGTTTTCAGAATTCAGAAATGTTTTGTAAGAGACTGATATTAAACTGATACTGCAGGATCAACACCATTATGTACATTTGGCAGGAACTTTCACCTGTAAAAGTAATGGGCGTTAGTATCCGGACAACCTGCACTACTCAGTTTAGCCAATCACAGTAATGTCAACCCTCTTCTCTGCAAGATGTCAAGTATTACAAATAGTTTCAGAATTGTTCAAATAAAAAAAGTAGATTGTCTAGTAGATAGAATTTGTATCTAAAGCTTATTAAAATGGTCATTAATATACAGAAGATGCTTTTATATTATATTAAGACTGAGATGATCCACTGGTATGCTGTTACAATTTATTGATCTTAGTCAATATCATGTCTCTCATTGACAGGAGGGAACAGTAAAATCAAAATCCGAGTCCGCCATGAGTCAGCAGTGGGCCAGATGGTGTCTTCCCTTTGGAAGTATCTGCCCTCTGACCTCTAGAACGTTCTCCACACACCAGCCAATCACATACAGCCATCCCTGGCTTGGCACTTAAAACCCCCCTCCTGCTCAGGCATCTGGTCATCTTGAATAATGTACGTAATAACAATAACTTGAGTCATAATGGGCTTAATCCTCAGCGGGAACAAAAGGTCAGATTAACTAAAGAAAGATCCGCCCACCTCTCATCGTGATCTTCCGTCAAAAATCATTACCAATCGCTTTCCGTTTGACTAGCGCTCCCTGTACGACGGAAGCAATATTGTTCCAGAAAATCTTTAACTCGGATTGTTAGGAAATGGTCTCCTGTGTTCTCTTAAATGGTCAAGTGAGACTGATTAAACGAGGTTAGTAAATTGGATTCTCTGTTTGAGACATTCATCTGTTTTGCAGGTTTCGCTCACAGTATTAAATATGAAAATTTGGTTTTATCATCAATGGACATTCAAAAGAAACCATGTATTCTGATTATACAACGTTGCACTCTCAGAAAAAAAGGTACAAAAGCTGTCACTGGGGCTGTACCTTTTCAAAAGGTACACTTTTGTACCCAAAGGCTGCATATTGGTACCTTAGTGGTACATATTAGCACCTAAAATGTACATATCAGCACCTCAAATGTATATTAGCACCTAAAATGTACATATAGCACCTGAAATCTACATATTAGCACCTGAAATGTATATTAGCACCTAAAATGTACATAATAGCACCTAAAATGTACAAATTTCCACATAAAATGTACATATTAGCACCTAAAATGTACATATTTCCACCTAAAATGTAAATATTAGGACCTAAAAATGTAAATATTAGCTTCTGAAATGGACATATTAGCACCTAAAATGTACATATTAACGCATAGAATGTACTTATTAGCACCTAAAATGTACTTATTGGCACCTAAAATGTACTTATTAGTGCCTAAAATGTACATATTAGCACCTGAAATCTACATATTAGCACCTGAAATGTAAATATTAGGACCTACCTGCTGCCTGTTTGGTTTCTAGACTCAGGAAGTCAACCGCTCATTCGAGGACAGAGCGCGGCTGACAATAAAGGTGAAGTTTATGAAAAATAAGACTTTTTA